AATTTTGCCCATTTTAGGCACTACCCTTTTGAATATTTTTTGTGATACCCTTTAAATCACAAGGTTTTCCACTTTGGCCAGTGGTAACATGAACTGTTTTTTACCCTGTATTAGCTGCAGAGATCATTCCCACTGTTTAGTTAAGTTCTTTTTCTAGATTTGAATAGTTTTCTCATATACATATGGTGATGAGTAGTCAGTGGTTATCTTGAAGGGTCTTTGTAGCTTTCTGGAACCCTCATTCTGTGCAGCTCTATCTCCCTACTACTTTGCTCTGGCTTTCCTGGACTCTCAGTTCTGTCTTTTCAACTCTGGGAGATTTCTGGGCTCTGTTAGGGTTTAATTTACCTTGCACCTTGAAAACAATTATATGGCTCACCCTGTTTGGTTCCCCACTTTTAATGCTTATAATCCTATGCTGCCTGTATCCAGTGAAAGCTGTTGTTTAATATATTTTGTCAGGGTTCTTTTTGTTGTTATTTATGAAAATAGGGTAAATCAGGTCCCTGTTACTCCCTTTTAGCTATAAGAAGACATTTAGAGTGGGATGTGTGTACCTGTATGTATGTATTTTTTTCTCAAAACTAGAAATGATGATGTGCTTTGCTTTTCATTGAAGAACATATGTCTTGTGATTTTTTTCTGTGTGTAATCTTTGTTGTTACTGATGTGCAATATCTACAGCCTTCATTCATTAAGGTTTTCACAGTGGTAATTATGTCAGTTCAAGTCTTCTGGGAAGCAGACCTCCAGATGGAATTAGAAATGGAAGAGGTTTAATGAAGGAAAACCTATGGATAAAGAGTAGCATGAGCAGGAACAGAAAAGGGAAGCCTTCATATTTCACTACAGATGTGGCACTCGGGAGAGGAGAGCTGAGTAGGAAGAACCTTGGACATCAGACTGCCATGTAGTCTGAAATATTGTCTGTTATGCTAGTGGAGAACACCAGAACAATATGCCTTTTGAGGCTGCCATTTGGAACAGAGGTGGTCCATTTCTAGTAGCTCTCCTGTTCTTAGAAGATGGAGCAACTGGAGGCTAGTAGTTCCCTCTCTCTTTTGCAGCTGTGTTATTCTGCTTTTCACAGTAAAGTCCATAATTCATTAGGAATTAATATGCACATAAAGTGTTAAGTAAGTTCATATTTCCGTACTGATAGTCTGTTGGCCCAAGCACTACTTATTGAGAATACTGTCCCACCTCCCCAAGTATCAATGACGCAGTGCTTATAAATCAAGTGACTGTTGGTGTGTCGTTCCCTTATCATATCTTCCTCTTGGTAATTCTAATCCTGAACTTTATGCTTATCTTTCTTTGGTTTTTCTATGTCAGAGATTGGCAAACTTTTTCTGTAAGTGACTAGATTCAGAGTGCCAAAAAATGTATACATAGTTTAAACAACGAAAAAAATGTATTAAAATTGTAATACTTAATATGTACCAGTAACAAAAGATGGATGCAAGTTGTGTTTGACTTCTGCAATTACAAGAGATGACCATTAGTGTGTAGACACTGCTGATTGTGGTGAACTACTGCTTGAGCACTGTTGACCAAACTGTCCTCTTGTATTGCT